GAGGTGATCATTCCGGGACACAAGAGAGATAGCTCGCTAAACCTGGATATGTATGCGTCGATATCGGAGTTTTGAACCGTGAGGTTCCACAACTCTTGTTCCATCTTCTAAATTTCGCCTCTTGGACAGTATTCAGCCAACATCATTTCCTTAAGCTCTTCACATGACATCGCGTTCGCCACCGGGAGTGTCATGGCCTCTACGTGGCCATTCCACCAGGAGAGAGCTTGATCAATGAATGTGCAGGCCGCAAACTTGACCTTGCACCCATCCGGACACCCGCAAATTTCAAAAACTGATTCCACCTTCTCAATCCATTGCTTCAGGGCTATTACGCCTCCTATTCCATTGAAGGTTCGGGGTTTGGCGCTGGTGAAGTCCTTGTAGGTGCAGGTTCGTGTGGTTCCGTGGTTTGTTCCTTGATTTGTGCTTCCGGTTCCCTGTCTGTTGCCTTCTCCGTTGTTTCCGTTGCGAATCTGCGCAAGTCCTGCAGTGACCGCAGCGGACACTGCTGCTTGGAATGCAACTGAGTTTATTTCAGGCGGGGTCGGTGTTGCGTTGTTTCCACGGTTGGGTCTTTGAGGCATCTTTTTGTTAAAGAACAGAAAGATGTTGAGTACATATCGTATTCCGAGTTTAGAATTCCTTAGAGTTGGCGTATCGAGTGTGCATTTAAGTGATTCAATGCATTAACATAAAATAAGGAAATAAAACACATAGCAGATAACAACATCACGATAAAAACATAAAGCATTTCCATTAATACTAATTGTTTTTAATACATGAAAATTTGCCAAAAAGGCATACAGTACATGGGAAAACATATAATCTGATAGCATGACGACCCTATGAGTAGTGTAATCACTTAAACATATGGTCGTTAGTACATAGAGTAAAACATAGAGAAGGAAATCGTAACGGGAGTACGTGAACAGGTGCTAACTACGATGGGATGGGTCTGCCAACAATATCATATGCCGTGCGACTAGATTAGCCATCTCGGTCATTTCCCTGACCACTTCATCTCTCTCGTGCTCGGCCTGAACCGCTCGGGCCTCCGTCGCTAAAAGTTGTTGCCGAAGAGTGGAAACCTCCTTCTCTAGGGATGGAGTCCTATCTACGGGATCCCGTGGTGCTATGGAGTGATCCTGCACTGTCTCGGAAGTAGGAGGTTCGCTAGGTTCTTCATTCATATTTCTATCCTCCCCTATGATCTCATCGTATTCCCCAAACTCATAATTCGTCTCCACGTATTCTTCGGGCCCGACATCGGGGGGCCGCCTCCACCACGGGGTCTTCCTCAACTACTCTGTGGGCCACTAGGTTTTGGTAGAAAAGAATGCCCTGTTGTGCTTTGTCCATGGCGACTGTGTGAGAAACTGGAAGTGAGAAGTGTGTAAAGGGGGCATGTATAAAATTTCAAAATACTCCTATAGTATTTTAATTATTTGTGTTTGAATTCCTGAGAAGTTTTGGAAAAAAAGGGTAAGCTTCTAGGTCAATTTCCCGCCATAATTACCCCCAAACACATGTTGGTCATATTTTGAATAAATATAGTTGATCAGGCTATATTTACCCCCAATATAACTACATAACTGCCCGGGTTTAATCACAGTGTTCCATTTCCTCTAGAGACTTTTAATGTTATAGTTTTTAATGTATGCACTTTATTCAGATTGTTTTAGTCCCATTGTATTTATAGTTGCATATCAAGTATGGTTAGATATGCCAGTTCACTATAAACAATCCTCTGATACCAATCTGTCACACCCCCGAACCAGACGGCGGAATCGTCCGGGGGATCATGTGACTATCAATTGAATTATCATCACAATGAATATACATGAAACATAACACAATCTTCACCAAACAATACATATTACAACTGGTATTGTTCACATCAAGTACATTGTCTTAGATTACATGTTCCCAAAATATTAATTGTACGATGATTTGACATTACACAAAATAAATTTCCTACACTTGAAAGTTCCCCTGCTTAACGGTTACCTGAGAATACAAGTTATTTTTGAAAACGATCAACATATATAATGTTGGTGAGTTCATAAGCATGTTTGAATGAAAGTCATGGTATTGTTTGTAAAACCCAGAAAATCCGATATTTTCTGTAAAAAGTCTGAAAAATGATGTGAAAATCGAGTATAGATGTATGAGTGAATTTTATAGTAAAACATGTATAAGTATGTAGTCCAAATTTATTTGTATTCTTCCTGTTGTAAGTAGATGGTAATTGAATGATAGTATTTCCCCAGAAAATCCGATATTCCCTGATTTATAAAAATGTTGCGGTCCTTGCATTATCGTATGATTTGTTTTGTATCAATATGATTTACGAGTTTTGATTTCCATAATGTTGTGATTGTAATGGATCTCTATATGAGTCGTTATAACCATGCATGATAGTGACTGAATTGCCTATCTTGGCATTTTTCCAAACGCCGGATTTTGATCAAGGTTTTGTCACCCTAGACTGGCCTAGTCTAACTGTAGCGAACAGCTCAGGTGTGGGGGAGTCACCCCCGTATAGATCTATACACAAACTCTCACTCTCCCTCCAGGAGACTCTGATTATAACTACAGGCTACTGCCATACACTCAATGGTGTCAACCGAAAAGTCTCACTAGATCCCAATTATTGCCACATAAATATGTATACGTTATATGTATTTAGAATTTCGAACACCAGATGATACATGATTATGAAAGGTTAAGGCCCAATAAACATGAAGAAAAGACAATTATGGCCCATTAGACATGTAAGTTATTTCCACGCTTGTTAAGTATGCAATGGACACATTTATGCTCATTAAGCATATGATGAATTATTCGAGGCTAAATTAGCATGTAAATGGGCCACTAAGGCCCAATAACATGTAAATGCTAATTTAGCCCCATTAAGCATGTAATTGGATCGCGAAGGCCCAATCGACATGAAATGATTATACTGGGCCAGATAAACATGCATATGGATCACGAAGGCCCAATAAACATGTATAGCGAGTACCAGGCCCAATAATCGTACCATTGTTGTATTTTGTTTGTTTGTTATAGTATAGTTCATTTAGTCGAAACATTTATCCATAATGTTATAAAAAGTCCGATGTTTTGTTATAATGATATTTTTTAGTTTGATACGTCAAAATTCTATAATTTGAACCCGTATTTATTAAAAATTACACTTTAGGTCCCTTAAGAACTAAATTGAACATTTAAAGGCTTATTTTTACATAAAATGTCATTTTGGTCTAAAATAACATTTTAGCCCATAAATTTATAAAAATTTATATTTTCGCCCCAAATGTTTAGTAATTGACGGGTTTGGCCCAAAAATACATATATTGACATTTTCAGCCCATTTTTGCAGAAAATTACATTTTTAGCCCTTATTTGAATAAAATGACATTATCGGCCCAAACTTTATAAAATTTACATTATTGGCCAAATTTTGAAATAATTGTCATTTTCAGCCCCTAAATTTGTAAGTTTTCATTTTTTTACTCAAGTTTTGATCAAATAACATTTTTGGTCCATAAAAATTTATATTTTTGCAATTTGGGCCCAAAAAGCCTTAAGGTCCAAATTAAGGCCCATAATGCAAAATATTACACTTTTGGTCCTATGGAAGGTATAGTTGTTAGAAAAACTCATTTATACAAATGTGACCCTTTTGATCCTTACAAAACCGTAAGTGGCAAAAATTTCCCAAATCTTTTTTTTACTTGTCAAAAATGATCCTTATACAAGATTTTTGTTTTGTTTTTCACATCTTAGGCATGTATAACACTTTTATCCTTGTAGAATGATGTTTAGAGTGTTTTAGTTTATGAATCTCACCCATTTTTGTTAGAGTATTCGATATTCATCAAGATTCATCACATAATCACAACATAAACCAAGAAAATCACACAAAACATGCATAAATACATAGATCTACACATAAACACTTGTATTCTCCCCCTAAAAACATATAAAACCGAAAACAAGGGGGGTATGAACTCACCTTTGCTTGATGTTTCGGTTTTTGAAGAAGAATGGAAGAAGATGATGTGATTTTCGGCCCTAGCAAGCTTCTTGAGGGGATTTTCGAACTTAGAGGTGTTCTATGGAGTTAGATCATGAAGTAAAGCTATGTAAGAATGAGTTCTTAACATTAAGATGGAAAGTAGATGTTTGTGTTTAATAACAACTTACCAAAGGTTGAAAACTTGATGAAGATTCTTGAAGCACAACCCAAGTCACAAGATTTTGGTGGAGGAAGGAAGGTGTTCTTGAGATATTAGAGAGAGATTGAAGGAAAAGTTTGAAGATGTGTGTGTGTTTGTTGCTCTCGGTCGAAAGGAATAAGAAGAGAGGAGGATGAGATCTTTGGTTATTACATGTAGGGTTTTACATGGAAATATGAGAGGTAATGCATGGATTGCCTCTAAATAATACTTAGGTGTCATTGTTAAATAATCCTTCATTAATCCTTTTTTTTAACCTTGGCCGAGAATGGGCCCTATGGAATGAAGGAAAATGGCTTTGGGCTCAAATCCTTGGCTTTGTTCGAATTTCATGGGCCCAATATTATTTTTTGGCCCATTGGGCCCATTAGATGGTTCACGACCCATTTGAATGAAAGAAAGGGAGTTTATGGCCCATTAGGGTTAGAATGAATCATTCTAGGCCCATATGGTCCAAAATGTTATACATTTATGAATTGGGTCCATTTAGAATCCAAATAGGGTTTCTAAGCCCAATATAGTCGAATTGAATGCTTATTGGTCCATTAGGCCCAATAAGAAAATCCTAGTCCATAAAGAACTTGAACCGAGATTTTTAGGGTTTTCAACTCCCAATTGGCTTTTCTGAAATGTTTTGCATAGAGTTTTGAACTACAATTGTAAATCTTGACTAAGTTTGTTGTCAAAGAATGAACATAGTGTATGATATCAAGTTAGAGTTACAAATATTATCATATATAGAATTTCCTAGCTAAAATGCCAGTTGTGACAGAATTTGAAAGGTATAAGGACGAAAAGGGTGTTCAAAGATGTAAAAGTAAGCATTGTGATGGCGGGAATTACAAGTGCGAATCAGGTGGTTATGGGACCAAAAATCTAGGTTATCATTTAACTAAATGTAAAGCTTACTTGGCTAAACTTAGTGGTGGGCAAAAACAACTAGCTTTCCAATATGGTGATGAAAACAAATTGTTAACTTGGAAATTTGGTCAAAATGAGAGTCGGAAGGCTCTAGCCCACATGTTAGTAGTTGACGAACTTCCTTTTAGCTTTGTAGAAGGTGTGGGCTTTAGGTATTACAATATTGTTACTCAACCATTGTTTAAAGTTCCATGTAGAAGTACAAGCACAACAGGTGTCTACCAATTGTTTGTAGACGAAAAAGAAAAAAATTCGTGACTTTATTAAAAAAATGTTGGTAGAATATGTTTGACCACCGATATATGGACTTCTAAACAATAATCATGTTATATGTGTCTCACCGCCCACTTTATTGATAACGAATGGAAATTGAAAAAAAAGTGATGTGTTTTTCTTCTCAAGAGAGTCATCGTGGGGTTGATATTGGAAAAATGGTTGAGAAATGTTTAATGGAGTGGGAAATAGAAAATGTTTTCTCAATTTCTGTTGACAATGCAAGTACGAATGATGTGTCAATTGACTTCTTGAAAAAAAGGTTTCAAAACTCCAACAAGTGTATTCTAAATGGGAATCAGATGCACATTCGATGTGTTGCCCACATTTTAAATTTAGTGGTGCAAGATGGCATAAAAAAGTTGATAGGGCGGTTGGGATAGTTCGATGGGCGGTTAAATGGTTTAGACAATCGCCTTCTAGAATTCACAAGTTTACTGAGTTTGCTAAGGTTGCTAATCCGGGTATAACGAAACACTTGAAGAGAGATGTGCCAACAAGATGAAACTCTACTTACCATATGTTGGAAATTACCGAAGCTTATGAAAAAACTTTAGAGATATGATCTTGAGGAATTTGATTTTCACATACAAAATTGAAAAGGCGGGTTTGTCGATACCTTCATCAAGCGATTGAAAAAAAGGTTAGGAATGTATGCCATTTTTTAAAACCTTTTCATGATGTTACTTTGAGGATTTTCGGGACGCTTTATGTGACATCAAACACGTGCATTGAAGATATATATTCCATTCGTACGCTCTTGGATGATGCTATTTCCGATTCTAGTCTTTGTGATATTGCATTGGCCATGAAAATAAAGTTTGATAAGTATTTTGGCGACATAGAAAAAATGAATTTATTGCTCTACTTTGCTTTGATTCTTGATTCGAGGCTCCGAGGAACAAAGCAAAGTATTTGGTTATACTACTTGAGGATCGTTATGGAGAAAAGATGGTGGAGGCCAAAAAGAAATATATCATGGAGTCTATGTATGAATTATATAATGATTATATTAGAATTCATTCTGCAAGTTCTACTTCAAGTACTGCGAGTCTACCACTTCATCATTAATATTAGGGAAACGCCAAAACCCGAATTTTATGGCACCTAACCCCCCATTGAGAAATAAACTAAGAGAAAAGATGAAGATGAACATAGTTGAATCAATTGGGGAGTTAGAAAATTATTTGCAAGAAAGTGTTGAAGACGACTCAGAAATGTTTAATATTCTAGATTGGTGGAATGTGAATAGTCCAATATTCCCGATTCTATCATTGATGGCTAGAGATGTGTTTGCCATTCCCGTCTCAACGGTGGCTTCAGAATCCGTTTTTAGCACTAGTGGGAGGGTTTTGGATCCGTTTAGGAGTTCTTTGACTCCTAAGATTGTTGAAAGTTTAATTTGTACACAAGATTGGATTCGGGGTTGCATAAGTGACACAATCGATTATGAAAAAGATTGGGAAGAAAATCAACAAATTGACACATATAATTGTTTATCGTTTATTATTTTAATGATTGTAAATTTAATATCTTTTCCTTTTAATACTAACATTATTTGACCTTTTTTATATAGAATTGAGCAAGATGAAATAGTGAAGGTGCAAGAAGAACGAGTATATTTATGATTTATGAATGTCTTTTGGAACTTGACATGTTATTATTTTCATAATATATAATGGTTTTCTATGTTTTCAAGATTTAAGACATTGGTTTTTTTGGTAAATGCAAAATACATACATATACATTGTTATCAAGTAATTTAGATGGTTGACATTGGTTGTTATTATTTCATCAAAATGCATTCGTGTATACTTTTCTTTGTTTTTCATTTTTTGTTTATTTCTAGTGTTTTAATTTACAAATCTTCCATCTAAAACAATGAATAATAAATCTAGTCTACATATTAAACTATTTTTTGATTATATCATTAGATTCAACTTTTAAACTAAGATCTTTAAGTATTTGTTTTTTTAAGATCTTATTAGATTAGTTTAAGCTGTTAAAAGATTACTTGATATCTCTAAGTATTATTGACTAAAAAATCTCAATGTTTAAAGTTTGAACAAGACATATTTATTTCATTAAATTTATTTTCAGGTGGCATTAAATATATATATATATATATATATATATATATATATATATATATATATATATATATATATATATATATATATATATTTTCAGGTAATATCCGAATTACCCAAATCCGATCCACTACCGGAATTTAATTTGGTCGGGTAAGGGATATTTTTTTGACATGAAAAACCCGAATTACCCGAAACCTAAAAAATTAAACACCCCTATAAGCTAATAAGCTAATAAAATGGTATGTTTGGGTTAGCTTTTTTATTTCAAAAGTGATTTTAAGAAAAGTGTTTATTAGCTTATGACTTTTAGGAAAAACTGAATTTTAAAAAGTGTTTGGATGAGAAAAACTGATTTTTCAGGAGTAAAATGGCTAAAAAACTAAAAAAATAAGATTTTCCAGATTTTTGAAAGCTTTACTTTTTCTTATCCAAAAAATTGTTTTAAAAAACGTTTTTTAAATACACAAACACTTTTTTAGCTTATTAGCTTTTTGAAAAACTAAAAAGCTAATAAGCTTTTTTTGAAAAACTATCCCAAACACTCAATATAAACAAGCTATAAGCTAATTTATACAACACCGTTTAGGAGGTGTTTGACAAAGCTTAAAAAAGAGCTTTTTGACTTATTACCGGTTTGATATCGGTATAAGTTAAAAAAAATGTTTGGGTAAAAAATAACTTATAGCTGCTGGTAACCTCTAATAAGTCAAAAAATAATAAATAACCTGTCCCTTACTTATTAAAAACTCATTATTCCACCAAATAAGTTATAAGTAAAAAAAAAAATTAATAAGTTTTTTTTAAATAAGCTTTGCTAAACACCATCTTAGGGGGTGTTTGACTTGGCTTTTGAGAGTGTAAAAATCCTTTTTAGAAAAGATCAAAATGTAAAAGATGTTTGGCAAAAGGCTTTTAAAAGCTGTTTTTGAATTTTGGATAGAAGGAAAATCAACTTTTTGGAAAAGTTAGAAAACCTATTTTTTGCACATTTTCAAAAAAGGACTTTTGACTAAGGTAAGCCAAACACCCCTTTATCATTTGTCACTCGTTCCATCAAAATGTTGGATCGATATCGGTACAGCTGAGAGAAGAAGACGACTGACCAAAGTTTCCACACTGAATCACCGATACCTCCACCGGTGGTGCCCAACAAAAGCCCTAAAACCTATTTCAATCGTCTGCGCCTCCATCTCCACTCTCAACTACATATCGACTGCGATTTTCTCCTTCTTTCTATCGATTACTTCTGTTTCGACACCACCGACGAACATCTCCAATCATGCCATCCCAACACAGCTCCAAACGGTATGTCTTCATTTTAAACACTTCGATTAGGGTTTAATTAATTTCACCTTGTGTTCGTTGCCTTTGGTTTCATCCATCTTCTACACCCAAACATCTATTCTGATATAAAGATTCACTGTTTGTTTCTTTTTTGTTTAATCCGTACAGATAGGAGATTGCAGTGTCGGAAGAGAATGCTAAACATGAAGTTGTAAAGGAGGAAGAAAGAAGTTATTGCAAAATTGTTTATCGCAAGTATTGCGAAATAAGCCAACACGTTGATGTTTATCGCGTATTCTTAAGTTTTTCCTGATAATGAAAGAAGTAGCCCTTTTCTCGTGCATCCAACGACAACGACAACCTTTCCACCATCTCCATCTGTGACCGCTTCCACTTATCCCCATTATCCGTAACAATAATTTCTTTATTTAAATATTTATTGTGATTAGGGTTCTTTTTATCTATGAAGCTTCAATTCACTTTTCTTTGGCTAATGAAACTGAACCTCAGATGACGATGTGGATTTTGTTTACATTTTTAACTCCTTTCATCTTCAACATCTTTTTTCTGGAGAATTCGTTCATTAAGAGACTGAGATTGGAAATCAAATTCGTATGTAGAAAAAGTAGAGAAGCTCTAATCGAAATCATCGGCGTTTCAGCGCCCTTCAACCCACCACGCTTCGCCGCTTTCTCTCATGGCCGACCTAAATTGTCCAATCGTTCAAGGTATTTTTTCTTAATATAATTCGAACTTCAGAATTGCAAATCTTTTATCTGTTCCTCATGCATGAAAAAGCCCCAATTTATGTTTTGTGTTATTTTGGAAGTAGTGTCGTTTCTTAATTAGTGAACCAGGACTGGTCCTTGATAATTAGTTGGATTATTATTGTTCATATAGTTATGATTCTTAAATGCATGATTATGGTGGTTTATATTGTTTGCGAAGATCACCTATGATTATACAGTCTAGGAAAGGATTGATGTTCATTCATTTTTGTCTCTGTAGCCCATTCTTAGGTTGGATGGTTGCTCCGATGACAATTATTGTTGTTGTATAATTTTTTTTTTTTTTGGGCATTTTGGCAATGAGCTCGAAGGGCCTGTAGTGAATTTGATGCACATAAAGCTTATTCTAACTACGAAGCAGCCTCTTGTGAACAATTTAGAACCGCATTTCAGGTATGTGTAGCGTTTAATATCTAAAATTTTGATATATTTTAACATTACTATAACTCCTCACAAGAGAATAGCCTCACAATCCCAAGAAAACTTTATTTAATAAAATTTCAAGTTAAAATCTTTAATTTTTGCAGTCCTATATATAGGCTCCAAAACTAGGGGTACCTTACAAAAAGGAAGCACTTGCTAATCGGAAACTATAATAAAGAAAAAAATAAACAAAAGAAAGGGTAATTTAACATGTATTTCCACCAAAATGAAATGCAAGAGTTCTTGTAGGACATTTTTTTGTACTTTAGTAGCTTTTAAAAGAGAAATTAAATATCCTCCTACTTTTCTTCTTAATTATCTTCCTACACATTTGAAATGATTACTAGTGTCCTAAAATATCATTAGTTTTATCTAAATATGACACTTGTCACAATTTCATGTGGGTAGGAAGAAAAGGTAGGAGGATATTTAATTTCTTCTTTTAAAATCATCAACGCACTAGAAACCCTAACCATTGTGGTTAACAAGGATTTAAAGAATGCAACTTAGGAAGCATTAACCCGTTTAAATGAGTAATTACTGTAAAATTTGGCTCAAAAAGCAAAACAAAAGGCTTAACCCGTTTAAATGAGTAATTACTGTAAAATTTGGCTCAAAAAGCAAAACAAAAGGCTTCCATATGATAATGTTTTCAAATATGGAAACTTCACTAAAATATCATTATTATATTTATTATAAACCTTACATACTCTTTCAATCATCTTCTTGTCATAAGGTCATGTAGAAATCACATAAAATCAGAGTAGAGTGTAAAAAAGGGTCAAGTGTTTTGACGGCATGAGAAACAATAGTTCAAAATAGTGAAATAAGCAATAAATTTTTATAAATATCTGATCTTTGAATTTATTTATTTATTTATTTTGCTGTAATTTGAGGTAGAAAAAAGTTGCGGGATGTCATTCCTCATAAACTGAAGAAATTGCAGACCTATGAGTGCTTTTTGTTGTTTTTAAATAAAATCTTTTCCTAAAGTATCTATGAGATGAAATCATGCATGTTAATTTGCTTATTACATTTTAGAAAGAAGGGAACCACCGGAAATACTCGGATCGTACTTTTACACATTGTTAGAATTTAGTTGAATGTGTATTCTTTTCTTTATCTTATCTGATTTATAATTTTTAACATTTTTACCAAATAAATTTAAGAATATTACTCACGAGTATTAGCATGCCTTTCTTTAACAAAATATATATTATTGTTGCCTATTAATAAATATGAAGGGGCTTCGCTTTAATGGTGTGAGCCTAAATTTACTACTTAAAGAGGTTAATTGCAAAGAAATATAAATAATTAGTCTTGGAGTTCAAGTTATGAATGTGAACAGAAAAGTAAATGCAGTGCAGTAAACACATAGATTCAAGTCAAGATCTCACAAAAATAAATAAATCATGTTACGTGAAGAAGATTAAAAACTATTTGAGATGTTCAACTCGATGAGTGTTAAAATTAATTCTTACCTCTCACTAACATTCTAGTATTTATCCATGGATGTTAAATTTTTGTGTTAAGGTTACAAAAATCTATTGAATTTTGCTTAGGTCTTTCACTTTTGTCTATATTGAACATTATTTTTTAAGAATAGCCAAACAAAATGATTTTAAATTGTGTGTCATGATAAACTTTAGCAATATTTTTGGAATGGATAACCTCTATTTGAAGAAAACGATGTGAATATTATGATATTGTGCTTTTTCAGGTTTTATGGTGTAAATTGTCTTCCTACCATTTTATGGTTGACAAAATGAAGTACAGTGTATATATACAAAAAAACCGTATGGTGTATTTTCACTCACACCAACATACCAGGTGATATATATATATATATATATATATATATATATATATATTATGTGATAATACTATGTGATATTAACTTGTTAATATCACATAATATTATCATGGAAGCAGTATTATGATCAGCAGATCATAATCAGATATGAGTAAAAAAAAAAGTCTGGAGAAAAAGGGCAAAGTCGTGTTATAGCCCGCTATTGTGGCCACAGTGCTGTTTTAGGGCATTTTTACTCATTGACTCGCCTAACTCACTAAACTCTTTTATTTCAAAATTTTTACATTACTCATATCATGATATGGTCCTGTAGATTTTGGTTTTGGTATCAGGGCCATGAAATACTATGTGATATTATTTCATTTTACTGTTTATGAGTATATTCAGTAAATTCAAAAATAGTAATAAACAACTGATTAAAAATCAATTAATAGAAGAATATGAAGTACCAAAGAATCTAGATCTTCTTAATAAATGGACAATTCCTGGTATCAACCCTAAATTAATATATGAATTAGGAACCTTTGAAGAACTAGGTTTTATTCAAACTGTTAAAACTACAGAAGAGAATTTAACTATGAATGAAGATGATATGACAGTTCAATTAATAACCCCACAAGATATTGATAGATATAAATATATTTATAATTACTTACATATTGGTTTAGTACAAATTGCTTTTAAACCATTAACATTACAGGGATTACCTGAAAGCTTTTTAGTAGTCCTTAGGGATGCTAGAAATAAAAATTGGAAACAATATTTAATGGGTATTATAGAACCTAGTTTATCTCATGGACCGGTGTATTTTAATGTTTACCCAAATGTACAACTTTCCTTGTCTGATAAAAATATTTTTCAAGCTCTGACATTAAATGTCAAAACTCATGGTTATAATTATTTACCAGGTTCAGAAGTAATATGTATATGTTATCGTATATATTTTAAACCATTAAAAACTATGAATCCTAAATGTAAGAGAGTTAATAAACCTATAAATGAAACAATTTTGATAGAAAGTAATTTTGATATGTCAAAAATTACAACCAGAAAATCTATAAAATGGGATGAAATAAAAATTCCTTAACACTGGGTTTTAGAAAATAATGTACCACCCACACCTTTAATAAATAATAATGTAGAAAGTATTATACAAACTTCTGATGGCGTCGTTACTATTGAGTTTAACAAAGAAACAAAATATGAAAACAATCTAATAAAACGAACAAGATCTGCAAGATCTTCACATTCATACATATCACCTCTAGATTATAAGGTAGAAGTCCCTTTCTACTCGTGCTTCTGTTGATATTAGAAAGATAAATAATTTAAATATACATGATGATATTGTGTATGAGGCGGAGGCATCTACTCCTTCTGAAATAAATTTTACAGTTTAATGGATTTAAAAGAAAAAATAGATTTTAGTCCTGGTTCTCAGGCAAGAAAAATTATTTCAGAAGAATTTTATTCAACTAAATGGACATTTTTTAAAGAATGGTTATTTAAAAATTATTCTAAAGAGGAGTTACAAGAAATACAAAATAAATTTTATGAATATTTATCCTCTATAAATCAAATTATACATTTTATTCCTTGGTTTACTTATATTTTTTTACATAATATTCACAATATAGAAAGATAATATACTCTATCAGGAGACAAGATTTTCGGCTTTTTACAATCACAAATAACAATGTTACTATAAAATTTTCGGCTTATCAAAAACTTTTTTGAAAAAAAACTCTTACAGTAGATATAAATCATATTAACAATATGATTCAACAGCTAAATTTCCATAATTTATATTCTATAATATTAGGAGAACAATTAATGGATTTACATAAAAAATAGAAAAAATAAATAGTCAAAAAGATATAATAATACAGAAAAAAGACAGAAAAACAAATAAATGCTACTATTCAACCACCACCAAATATTACTGGTTATAAATTAAAAAATTACGATTATATGCTAGACATTATACAAGAACAAATGAAAAAATTACATATTAATACCATAAATAAAGACTCGGATGATGACTCAGATATAAATGATTCCCAAATAAATAAAATTAATAATTACGATAGTAAATTTGCTTGAAAGCCTGTTCAAAGAATGTATTATTATCCAAGGCCAAGCCCTCAAGATGTTCTATATGAGGAACAAGAATATGAAATTAACAATAGTTATAGTGGTAAAAATGTCTATGAATGGAACTTAGACGGTTATACTGAAAGACATATATATAATATGATTCATAGAATGTTAATGTATAGTACAATCGCTAAAAATACAGGAAATAGTGATAGACAAGTAGCTAATATGCTAATTGCTGGATTTACTGGCCAATTAAAAGGTTGGTGGGACAACTATGTGGATGAAAAAACTCAACAAGCTATTCTTAATACAGTTAAAATAGAGAATGGGATTACTACTCCTAATGTAGTTTATACCCTTACTTGTACTATAATAGAACATTTCACAGGAAGATGGTCAGACAATTCTGAAAACATTCGTACTCTATTAAACAGATTATTTTGTAAAAACTCTTACATCCTTTAGATGGTATAAGGATACTTTTTTAAGCAGAGTAATGGAGCTCAATGATTGTAATAGTGTTTATTGGAAATTCAAATTCATAGATGGTTTGCCAAATCTTTTTGCTGAAAAAGTAAAAAAGCAATTAAGAATAGATAATACAATTCCTTACGAAGATTATACGTATGGAAAATTAATAGGAACCTGTATACAGGAAGGCTTAGCCTTATGTAGTGAAATAAAACTTAATCATCAAATTAAGACCCAACATCTTAATGAAAAACGACAACTAGGAGAATTTTGTGATCAATTCGGAATAGAAACTAATAGAAGTAAGAAAAAACAGAAAAAAGATTTTCAACAAAAGAAAAAGTTTTACAAAAAAAGATATAATGATCCTAACAAAAAGGATAAACACATAAAAAAGAAATTTATTAGAAAAGAAAACATTAATAAAAAACCCCCTACTTGTTTTTCGTGTGGAAAAACAGGGCACTATGCTAATGAATGCAAAAATAAAAAGATAAAAAAACAAATTAATAACATGGACTTAAGTGAAGATATAAAGCTGCAATTAATAAATTTGATTGATAATTCTTCTTCTGATGAAGAAAGTTCAGATAATAATTCTGATAATATAATAGACTACCATTCTGATTATTCTTCAAAATCTGAAGAAGATGAATGTCATTGTGATAATTTAGAACAATGCTCATGTAACATAGACCATCAGTTATACTTACTCCAGTCTCAATTTAAAGAAAATTTAACCATAAATATGATTAGCAATGATATAGCAAACTTATTAAGAGAAATTGATGATCCAGAAATAAGGCAAAAAATAATAGAAAATTTGAATACTAGGGAACAAAGTATTAAAGAAGAAGGGATCTATTCCATGAAAAACGTACAGGATATGCTAAAAGAAAGAAGAAATAAAAGTTGTGCTAATAAGCCTACAGTACAGGATTTACAAGATGAAATTCAATCATTTAAATAGGACATATCTAAAATAAAAAATGACCAATTGATAAACAATCAACGAATTAATAGATTAGAAAAACTACAAAATAAACATGACATTGGTACTAGTAATAATAATGATAATAGTTTCCTTCAGTCCATGGAACTAGTAATCTCTAGAAAATGGCATGTCACAGTCAGTTTATTTATTACTTACAATTATCAAAGAAATTTTGTTGCTTTAATAGATAGTGGTGCAGATCTAAACTGCATACGAGAAGGAATAATACCTACTAAATATTTTCAAAAATCAACACATACGTTGAGAGAAGTATCAAGTTCAAAATTGGATATTAGATATAAATTAACAGATGCAAAAATTTGTACAGAAAATATTTGTATACCTATTAATTTCACAGTAATTAAAAATATGACAAGCAATACAATGATTTTAGGAAATCCTTTTCTGGAAAGGATACTTCCACTAACTATTGATAAAAATAAAATAATAGGATCTTATAAGAATCAACCTGTTATTTTAAATTTTGTCTCTGACCCTTATTCTATTTGGGTAAATGAGTTGGATTTAAAGAAAAACCAGATAAATTTTCTTAAAGAGGAAATTAGGACAGTTCAAATAGATGAACAGTTAGAACAACAGGAAAAAATTAAACTTTTAACAAACCAATTTTCTTTAAAAATTTGTAATGAGCATCCTAATGCCTTTTGGGAAAGAAAAAAACATATAGCCATGCTTCCCTATGAGGAAGATTTCAATGAAAAACAAATTCCTACCAAGGCAAGACCTTGTCAAATTAATTTCGAATACTTAAATATATGTAAAAAGGAAATAGCTTCTTTATTAGATAAAAATTTAATACAACCTTCTAAATCTCCATGGTCATGTACGACGTTTTATGTTAACAAACATTCAGAACAAGAAAGAGGAATACCAAGACTAGTTATAAATTATAAGCCACTTAATAAGGTTTTAAAATGGATCAGATATCCTATTCCTAATAAAAAAGATTTATTAGATCGTTTACATGATTCTCTAATATTTTCAAAGTTTGATTTAAAATCAGGATATTGGCAAATCCAGATTGATAAAAAAGATAGATATAAGACTGCCTTTAATGTTCCTTTTGGGCAATATGAATGGAATGTTATGCCATTTGGCTTAAAAAATGTCCCTTCAGAATTTCAAAATATAATGAATGATATATTCAATCCTTATAGTAATTTTATTATAGTATATATAGATGATATCTTAGTATTTTCAAAACATATTCAAGAACATTTTGATCATTTGCATACTTTTGAAGCAATAATATTAAAAAATGGTTTAGTAATTTCACAATCTAAGATGTCTTTATTCCAAACAAATGTGAGATTTTTAGGTCATAATATTGAAAAAGGACAGGTCATTCCTATACAAAGAAGTATAGAGTTTGCTGCAAAATTCCCAGATGAGATAAAAGATAAAACTCAGCTACAAAGATTTTTGGGTAGCCTAAACTATATATCACCTTTTTATAAAGATTTATCATCCGATAGTGCAATTTTATATGATAGATTAAAGAAAAATCCTTGTGCTTGGACTAATAATCATACCCAAGCAGTCAAAAGAATAAAAAATAAAGTAAAAAATCTACCATGTTTATCTTTGGCTAATCCAAATTGGGAAAAAATAGTTGAAACAGATGCCTCTGAAATAGGTTTTGGAGGAATCTTGAAACAAATTCACCCTAATAATAGACAAGAATTCCTAGTTAGGTTCCATTCTGGAAAATGGACTCCTAGTCAAAAGAATTATTCTACTACTGCTAAAGAAATTTTGGCACTAGTAAAATGTATTCTTAAATTTCAAGATGATTTATATAATCAACATTTCATTATAAAAACAGATTGTCAAGCAGCTAAATTTATGTTTAATAAAGACTTTAAACATAATGTTTCCAAACAAATGTTTACTAGATGGCAAGCTACATTAGTATGTTTTGATTTTGAAATTCAATATAAAAAACGAAGTGATAATAGTCTTCCAGATTTTTTAACTAGAGAATTTCTAAATGAGTCTCAACCATCTAAGACAATTATCTCATAATATTATCGAAATAAAAAATTCAATTAAAGAGGCAGAAGTTGAATTAGCCAACCTAACTAATGAACCATATTATAGAAGAACAGTAATTAAACTAAGACTGATAGGATTAAGAATTCATCTTAAAAATCTTGAAAACAAACTTATATTACTCTTGAATTAATATTATGAGTGACTCAAAATTACAAGTAAAGAATAATCTTCATTGTAAACAAATAAAGGCCTTAGATTCCTTATCAAACGAAATAAAAAGGATAATAGGCCAATTACAAGAATTGACATACAAATGTATAACGTTATGTTCAAATATCTTCATAATTTTTTTTTCTGAAACTACATGCTAACTTGCAGGATGAATCCCAATCGGGGAAGAGGCCATCTTTCATATAGGGGTGGTTATAATAGAGGTCGAGGAAATCGTACGGCTTCAAGCAGTTCTTATAGAGCTGGAACTTCATCACAAGCAAACAATCAGCCCCTTCCAGTTCCTGGAAGCCCATTATATGAGGAATTTAAAGCATTTCTGGAAACAAAAAAGGAAAATATTCCTAGCTTCGCTCAAATGATTACAGATGGTGAAACCATCAATGATAATTTTGAATATAAAGAGTCATCTCATAAAGATAATATCATAATTTTAGAAAATAAAGATATCATTCTTTATTTTGAAAATAATGAAGATCCATAGTTTTTAATGACCAGATATTTAGATACAGCAACATACGCAGGGTATTCTTATAAACAAAGATTATATTATGAGAGTGTGTTAGGAACCGGACCGGGTACACGCAGCGGAAACACACTATCACACACTCACAAACGAAACGAGAAAATAAAGCAAGAATAACACAAGGATTTTACGTGGTTCGGATTCGGTGCAAATCCTACGTCCACGGGCTGCAACTAGAGAATTTTATTAAAACTCACAAGATTACAATTGGCTTGACACTCTACATTTGATGTTCTCTCAAGTTTTTGCACACAAAATATGCAAAACATACATGCATATATATAGGTACATTTGTGAGCCGCAATATGCACAAGATTGCCGCAAAGATTGAAAAATGCGTAGATTTTTCTTTAGCCGTCCATTGATTATTCCACCGAAAGTTCGCGTCCAATTCAAATGTTCAATTGTTGCGTTCACATTAGAGATAGTGACAATAAATATTAAACAATTGATTCCACCGTCCATTCAACAATTCAATTGTTTTAATTTCCAAGTTTCATTTATGGTCCTTGAACTCTTAGGAACTTGTCAATTTGTTCATGACTCCATAAATCTTAACAATCTCCCACTTGGAGACTTGAACAAATTAGTCTTTCTCCGCCATCCAACTCTCAATTACTCCAGTAATCTTAAAAAAACAACCAAGTCCTTCAAGCTTCCAGTTCCAAAGAACAAGCTAAAACTTAGTCTGATTTCTCTAATTGCAGCCGCCCCTCATCATCAATTACTAGAAAGGGCCAGTTGAAGCTCCCACTAGCTCCAACTTAGCCATAGCTAATCCCGCCACCGACTCATCCTCTGTCTCAACCGGTTTGGACACTCCACCGGATCCAGAGATACACCGAGGACCATTAACACTCTCCAAACTTTGCAAACATTCAACAGGAGAGAATTTTTCAGTCTTAGTCTTCAAAACCCAACGACTCTTTGTAACTGTACCAGGAACACGTCTCGTGCTCCCACTGTCACAGAATCCCCTGAATGGTTTAGACTTTTGAACTCGTTCAGCTAACATCTCTTTGGCTCCAGAATTCATGTTTGCAAAATGAACTCTCTTAGCCGTAGATTTAGCGAACCAGATTTTGTCTTGCTTAACAGGGACGGTCATAATTCCCTCATCAGATACCTCAACCATATACAATGACCCACGCTTCAAACCTTGAGCAATCACCGAATTACCATTGACCACCATCCATTTACCACTTCCAAACCTTACTTCCAGTCCTTGTTTATCCAGCTGACCAACATAAATCAATTTCTTTTTCAGCTCCGGAATCACCCTGACATCCTTCAGGCTCCATGTAGTTCCCAATGAAGTAACCAAATCAATATCTCCCATGCCCGTTACTTGAAGCATCTCGTCATTTGCCAAACGTACCTTTCCAAAATCTCCTTTTTTTAGATTCACCATCGTTTCCCCGTTGTCCATGGCGTGAAACGAAGCCCCTGAATCCATGACCCAAGAGTCCACAGAACTTTCCATATTGAGTATCAGTGCATCATCCTCAGACACACTCTCAGCACCAGCAATGTTTAATTCTTTCTTTGGACATTGACTCTTAACATGTCCCACCTCTTGGCAGTTCCAGCATTTCACATTCTTCAAAGTTCTAGAAGAACTTTTTCCCCGACTCCCACTGCTTCCACTATTCCTGCTATTCCCTCTACCTCTTCCGATATTTAATAAATCAGAAGAGGAAGATCCACCTTGATTCTTGCGTCTGATATCCTCGCCTAGAACCAAATCTCTAACCCCTTCAAAAGTCATACCACTGGTCCCCACGAAACTTGTAACAGCTGTAACTGTTCCGGACCAGCTATCAGGTAGAGAAGCTAGTAGCAGTGATGCTTGAGTCTCGTTATCAAATTTAATTCCCACAGATGATAATCTGGACAGAATTGAATTTAGATTGTTAATGTGAACCGTAACTGAGCCTTCCTCATTCATCCTTGTAGTGAACAACTCCTTCATCAAGAACACCTTGTTAGCCGCCGATGGTTTCTCATACATATTTGACAGAGCCTCCATCATACCACGCGCCGTGGTTTCATTCATGATGTTGAAAGCAACACTCTTCGTCAACGACAATGTAATAACCGCCTTGGCTTTCTTGTCCTTTGAGTTCCACGCATCTTCAAAAGCTTTTTCCATTTTCTCCGGTTTGTCTCCGAGTACCACGTCCAAGTCTTTCTGACATAGTAATGCTTCTAATTGCATTTTCCACCAGCTAAAATCAGAACCATTGAACTTCTCGATTACCACCTTGTCTTCAGCCATTATGACAAACAAGATACAAATCAGGTACACTCGTGCGTGATAAAAAAACGATCGTACCCTCCAAACCTTGCTAATCTAGCTCTGATACCAGTTGTTAGGAACCGGACCGGGTACACGCAACGGAAACACACTATCACACACTCACAAACGAAACGAGAAAATAAAGCAAGAAGAACACAAGGATTTTACGTGGTTCGGATTCGGTGCAAATCCTACGTCCACGGGCTGCAACTAGAGAATTTTATATTAACCCACTATAAGATTACAAATGGTAATATCACTCGACACTTGATGTTCTCTCAAGTTTTTGCACACAAAATATGCAAAACATACATGCATATATATAGGTATATTTGTGAGCCGCAATATGCACAAGATTGCCGCAAAGATTGAAAAATGCGTAGATTTTTCTTTAGCCGTCCATTGATTATTCCACCGAAAGTTTGCGTCCAATTCAAATGTTCAATTGTTGCGTTCACATTAGAGATAGTGACAATAAATATTAAACAATTGATTCCACCGTCCATTCAACAATTCAATTGTTTTAATTTCCAAGTTTCATTTATGGCCCTTGAACTCTTAGGAACTTGTCAATTTGTTCATGACTCCATAAATCTTAACAGAGTGGTCGATCCAGACGTGACACAAATATCAAAGAGAGAACAAAAATTGATACCAATGCCCTTTATGTCATGAATGACCCTCGAAATATTGTACCAAACACCGGGGAACGATTTCTTTGCAAATGAATTCACCCGATCTGCAAGCAAGATTATGAATACCACTAATGACACGCCCCTACAAGGGATTTATGATCAACCTTGAATCGCCAAATCCATTTGATTAAAAGAGCCCAATTTAGAGAGCATAAAGAGCCAACCCCCAAGCCTCTCGTATCTTTAGCACCAAGGATAACATTCCAAGCCACCCAATTTATTTTATTTTTCGCATCACAACCACCCCATAAAAACCGTTTTCTCAATTTCTCAAGAAGATAAATAATCGATTTTGGAGCTTTGAACAAAGGAAAGAAATACAACTGGAGATTGCCAATAAAAAACTTCAAAAGTGTTAGCCCCCCCCCCCCCCCCCCCCCCCCCCCCCAAAAGAGAGAGTCTTAGCCTTCCAAGAAGAAAGACGATTCTGAACTCTATCAACAATAGGGATCCAATTTCTTTTGAGAGTCATATTAGCTCCTACTAGAACTCTTAAATATTTGAAAGGAGGGAATCATGCATTACAACCAAGAATTCGGGCACAATTCGAGACATCATTAGCCGAAACACCAATTTCATAGACATTTTACTTGTGAAAATTAACCTTTAGACCGAAGGCAGCATGAAAGCATCTTCAAATACATGCCAAATTTGCAAAATTAGAGCTAGAGCAATTACCCACAAAAACAATATCATCAGCATAAAAGAGATGCAATAACACATCACCACCATTGGGAATTTGAATCCCGTGAAAGAGAGACTTTGACATGAAGGTTTCATGGCGACATTGAGACCCTCCATGGCAATAATGAAAAGAAAAGGCGAGAGAGGATCGTGTTGACTAACACCTTTCATAATGGGAAATTACTTGGTTGTAGCTATGTTTATTAAAATCGAGGCTCTATAGGATGAGATACATTCCTTTATCCACAATCTCCATTTATCACTAAAGCCCATTTGCGCCATCACCGAATCCAGAAACAACTAATTAATACAATCAAAAGCTTTGTCAAAATCAACTTTCAACAATAACATTTTGTTTTTGGTATTTTTAGCCCAAGAAACCGCCTCATTAATGATCATAGGACCATCAATAATATTACATCCCTCAATGTATGTGGAATGGACTCCATCAATCACCGAACCAATCTCATTTTTTAATCTATAAGCAAGGACTTTCTCGATAATTTTATAGACACATCCAACGAGACTGACGGGCCTATAATCACATAAGGAAAGAGGATCCTTGACTTTGGGTAATAGCTAGAGTAATAAAAGAAGAATTGCTACCCCTTGAAAGACAACCAACCAATTCAAAATGCTTTACGAACCGCATGATATCATCTTGTATAATAAGCCAAAAAAGTGATGCTCAAATATAATACTTTTAGTAGCAAAAAAATTAGTAAAATAGCTGAAGGTCTAGTGACTTATAGATACCATTTCGTTAATAAAGTCCTAATAATAATGATAATAATAATAGTAGTAGTAGTAGTAGTAATAACAGTAACAATAATAGTAATAATAATAATAATAATAATAATAATAATAATAATAATAATAATACCAAACGTTTTTAGAGGTTTTAAACTTCAAAAGTACAATTTATAATTTGCTGGTCAAAGATGATTCCTTTAAAAGTTTGATGCTTTATTTGGAGAGGCTCATTGGATAGGATCCCTATAGCGGATGGTTTGGCGTTTAGGGGAATTAACTTCCCCAACACTATTTGTCCACTATGTAACAAGGAGATCGAAATAGCTGATCACCTCCTCATTACTTGTAAGTATACTTAGGTGGTGCAAGATTGGATATTTAAATGGTGTGGGGTCCAAAACAGGAGATTCTCAAATGTTAGTGATTTCATTGATTATGCGGCTGCTTGGGGA